CACTGTGAAAACAAAAGTGACCAGGTGTACAACAACTAGAGATTAGTCCATCCTGCTACAGGTCTAAAAAACCTCAGTCTTTCCACTGTGAATAAAAAGTGCTCCAGTGCTAAAAAAAAATAGTCCATCATGTAACAGTATAAACTTCTTAAAATAATTCAATCTCTCCACAGTGATTAGAAAGTGCTTCAGTGCCTAAACTTCTCCCTAGCAGACTAGAACTCAACAGACAGCAATGCCTCTCATTTACACATTGGCATATAATGCATTTACAGATGACATCCGTCTAATATGGCTTCTGGTCTTGATTTTCCTCGCTTCTGGAACTCCGCATATGATGAAAAAGAAAGAAAAAAGGAGCTCCAATAGTATAAAACCGTTTAACTAAAAAGCGCTTTATTAAGATTAAAAAACACACTCACAAGAAACTAAAACATTCAAGCATTAATCAAGTAACTCAGCCTGCATGATGTATTGTGCAAAAATGGAACATTAAAAAGAGGTCTCAGTCTTACTTGATATCCAAGGCAACATTTCTGATACGTCACTTCAGGCACCACCATTGACCAGTGCCCCAACGTTTTGTTGTAGGATGGACTAATGTCTATTTGAGCACTGGAGCACTTTTTTTTTTTTGCAGTGGAAAGACTGAACTTTTGAGGGTTTTTTTAGACCTGTGGCAGGATGGACTAATCTTTAGTTCTCATACACCTGGTCAGTTTTGGTTTTCATAGTGGTGATATAAAGCACATCATATGTTCATAGTGCCTTTTTTATTGCTATATTGTGTTACATATTTTGGGTATGTTGAATTGAAGGCTGTAGCAAAATTGCACATTGTTTTAATATTTGCTTGAGATATTGGATGTCTGCAGCACTGAGCTGGATGATTGTAGTTTTTAGCAGCTGTACACACTTTTTTATGAAACTGTAATGGGCCTGGTTTGACTGGTAGATAGAATGTGGTCAGTAGTTTGCTGAGGATGTCCCTGTTCTTACTGATGCAAAACTGTCCTGCCATTGGCAAATTTCTATCAATCTCCCATTAGGAAACTACATTTGATACAGAATAAAAAAACTGTCCAACAGTAGGACTTTTTAAATGAGGGATACTTTTCTGAAATGTGCTATAGACAATTGGCTTGATTTACTAAAGACAAATAAATTGTGAAGTTTCACTTTGTAATAGAATTTTCCTCAGAGCCTAGTGAATGTGGTGCTGCTCTTTTAACATTTGTTTTTTTTATTTTTCTTGCACATGATTGAGTATTCTTTTCAAAGTGGAATTTCACCATAGTCACTAACCTCTGGGGCAAATTCCCATGCAACGTGAACAGCATATTTGTCTTTAGTAAATTAACTCAATAGAGTACAATCAGGTGTTATTCTAAAAGAATCATGAGAACACAATGACACAACAGTGTACATTTGGAGAGCAGCCAGACAATTGTAAGACTAGGTCAAATTCATTAGACAAAAGGGTTGACTTTACTAAAGGCAAATTCACTTTGTAACATAATTTTCCCTTATTTTAGTGAATAGATTGAAATTTCACTTTGCAAAAAATACCCAATCACTTCAAAGGTAATTAAAAAAAACAGTATTTTTGTTTGCACATGATTGGATGTAGACAGAACTTCTCCTCATTTCAGAAATTAAGTGAAAATGACCTTGCAGCCAATTTATTTTTTTTTTAGTAAATCAACCCCAAAGAGCACAGGCAGAGGCTTTACTACAAGAATTAAGACTCTTCAGAGGATATGGCAGTGTAAAATTGTCCACTAACAGGACAGTTTAAGAAGGTAATATAGGCATAACCTGCATAAACCCATTTTACTTGGGGTATAGTGCAGTGCAGTGAATGTGAGTGATATAAAGTGTGGTTGTGTAGGGGTGCATTGTTTTTGCACTTAGTTTTATTTTTCTTTCAATTGATACAACTGTATGCAGCAAACAAAATGCAGCTCCACGAACAAGTGAATGTAGCACTTAAAGCACCCAAAAAAAGCAACATCAGCAAAAAAAAACCCCCAAAGAATTCCCCCAAATACCACACCTGAAACAAAAATGACACTTTTTAGAAATCTTGCTACAAAAAAAAAAAAAGAAACTGTTTAACCTAAACTAAATGATAATCTCTTTCAACATAAAATATAAAATGTACCATTAAAATTATTCAAATACCGACCCCCAGAAACAGAAGTTCAATTTTTAAAAGTGAGTCTTGCAGATAACATTTTTCCTCTGGATGAGACAGGAGCCAAAAGTGACCATAAAATAAAATGAAAGACGAAAAGCTTTCCTATCCTTTTCCTACAGCAACTTCCAATAGTGCTTCTAAGTCTGCTGACCATAGTTCAAAGGCCATGCAGTGCATGATGGTTTAGAAAAAAAATTCTCCTGGGAAAATTTGCAAATGATCATGAATGTGGAATCCATAGTAATAAATATTCCTAATAAACACAAGTTAAGGGTGAATTCACACTAAATATCTGATAATTTGCAGAGCAGCTGGAGAAATTCATCGCTTTGGCTTCTCTTTGTTGGCGGCTGTGCTAGGGGGCAGTTTGATGCGTGATTTAGTGCCTTGCATGGTTCCCTTTTTTGTGTTGCTGTTTTTTAAGAGCTTTATTTGAAGTGCACAAAATGTACACTTAATTCACTGCAATGTCAGGCAGTGCAATGCGCTGAGCTGCCCAACATTGAAGTGTGATTAGGGCCACTGCACTGTGAAAAAAATGCAGGAAACAATTTTTTCCTGTGTTTCTCTGCAGCGACCAATTTTTTGCCATATGGTAAAATGTCTGTCACCGCATATAGTGTAAATTGGCCCTAAAAAGCAAACAAATGTAAAAACCACTGTTATTTTAGGGGTATCCATTAAGGCACAGAGGTTTGTAGCGCATAAAGAGTTATTTGTTTCTTTTTCTGGAGTAGGGTTGAACTGTGTGCAGATAGCCTGTGTAAGCCAATGGAGTTATTCAGACACACCTACACATCTGAGTTTGACAGGAAAGCGTGGATGAGTGCACAGCTCATAAGTCTGACAGTGTTCATTTGCACCTGTGTACCTGTCTACGTAATTGTGCGTGAGTCCTCATAGCTACAGCATCTCCATTGACTAACACAGGCTGCCAACATTCACCTCCTTGCTTCACTGAAAATATAAACAAATGGCTGTTCATGCACTACAGGCCTCTCCCATTTGAATCAACCCTTCAGTAAATGGAAAATACTGCTCCGTGTACTGACAGTAATTGTTTCCTAATCTACAGCCTAGAGACACCTACGTGACACCAAAGAAAACAAAAATCAAGATGATTCAGCTGTGTGATATTCAGGCGAAAAAAAAAGTACTCGAATATGGATGTTCTTGAAATTGATTTTGATTGAACTTGGATGATGATTGCAGTGATCAGCAATGTTTGCAATGACTCCTATTTCTTGCATAACAATAAAATATTTTACATTTCCCTAACATTGAAAAACACATTACATTTAGGTTTGTCAATTAATATTATTATTTTTTTATATTAAAATTTCTATCATAATGATCCTTTGCCCTCAAAAACAGTTTACAACTTTGTTGTAGAAGAATACAGTCTTCCATTGTTGACCTCCCCTTTTAAAAATGATGGTTAACTGGCTGATTTGTTGAATGAATAATACATTCTAAGTCACCCACCTAGAATAAACATACAGATACAGGAGTTCTGGCTTCACATGGACTCCCAGGGGCGGACTGACAACTCATGGGGCCCCCGGGCAATAGGGGATCATGGGCCCCCCGTGTCCTTGCCTATACCCAAAAAAGCCTATGAAAAAGCCAATGAAGGTAGCAGGGGCATCTCATGGGGCCCCCTACTGACCCCAGGCCCTCGGGCAGTGCCCGAGTGCTTGAATGGTCAGTCCGCCCCTGGACTCTCCTGATCTGCATACCAGCTCTGGGCAAGAGACTGATAAAGCAATGGGGACAGAGATAATTAGCCAACTGGCACTTTCAGAAGAAGATCATCTGTGCATATTTCTCACAGTACAGTTTTCTTAAAAAAACATCCCCAAATAGCAGTTTACCTTTTGGTCACACCTAAAACATGAATATAATTATCACAATGAACTATAACTATCAGAGGTATGTCATTTGGCATTAGGAAAACCTATAAAAGTACATATAATGACTATGAGTATATGAAATGTAAAGAGTATATAACATTATACAACGTTTAAATCGTATCTTTGTAACAGTAATAACATAAACATACAGTATCTTAATTACAAACTAAATCACATATTATATACATGAAAAACCGTGTGTGTCATGATTGATTTATTAGATAATTTATTCATTTAAGGATTTATTTATGGATAAACTATGCAATAAATGTAATCCCAGTAAGAAAATAATCATATTTGTGTTATTCTTTGTTAACTGAACTTACAAAATACCAAAAAAAATCAATAACATAACATGTATGTGGTAAATTCATTTGATACCCGCAACAATACCTTTTGCAAATATAATACAATAATTTTGTTTATAAAAATAGCAAAATGCATGCTTATTAAAACATTGCTTATGTTATAGTGTTGCTGTTCCCTCCCCCCATGACATCGGCATACTCCGATAGCAATCTCCACCTCTTTTAACAGATGAGTAAAAGAACTGGAGCCACTGTTTTGTTTTTCTTAATTCAGGACCCATTCCAATTGGTTAACTGTATTAAAATACACATTTTAATAAAGCTATGGCAGCGCACATTCCACATTGCAATATAATTGTTTTGAATGGCACCTGAATCACTTAACCAATGCTCTCCAAATATACCTGTGTTGCAGTGTATCACACAGTGGTGTATTTTGGTTTTGTGCTGCCCTAGGCAAGACTAAAATCGGGCACCCCCGGCATCTAAATTTGCCCCACCCATTCCTGTTTAAGATCCACCCCTTCATCTGTAAACTCCACCCATTCCTCTTTAGGTTACACCTCTTCCTATTAGAGCTCCGCCCACTGACACCAATGATGGGGTGCTATTTCCTACCACGGACAACAATGGTGGGGCACTATTCCTCTCACCTACACCAACATTGGGGCACTATTCCTCCCACTGACAACAACAATGGGGCACTATTTCTCCCACTGACAACAACGGTGGGGCACTATTCCTCCCACACTGACACCAATTATGGGGCATTATTCCTCCCATTGACACCAATGATGGTGCCCCATCATTAGTGTCAGTGTGAGAGGAATAGTGCCTTGTTATTAGTGTCAGTGTGAGAGGAATAGTGCCCCATCATTAGTGTCAGTGAGAGGAATAATGCCCCACCGTTGTTGTCAGTGGGAGGAATAGTACCCCACCATTGGTGTCAGTGGGAGGAATAGTGCCCCATTGGTGTCAGTGTGGGAGGAATAGTGCCCCATCATTGGTGCCAGTGAGAGGAATAGTGCCTCATCATTGGTGTCAGTGTGGGAAGAATAATGCCCCATCATTAGTGCCAGTGGGAGGAATAGTGCCCTCTCATTGTTGTCAGTGGAAGGAATAGTGCCCCATCATTGGTGTCAGTGGGAGGAATAGTGCCTCATCATTGGTGTCAGTGTGGGAGAAATATTGTCCCATCATTAGTGTCAGTGGAAGGAATAGTTTCCTATCATTGGTGTCAGTGGGATGAATAGTGCCCCATCATTGGTGTCAGTGGGAGGAATAGTGCCCCATCATTGGTGTCAGTGGGATGAATAGTGCCCCATCATTGGTGTCAGTGGGAGGAATAGTGCCCCATCATTGGTGTCAGTGAGAGGAATTGTGCCTCATCATTGGTGTCAGTGGGAGGAATAGTGCCCCATCATTGGTGTCAGTGGGAGGAAAAGTGCCCCCTCATTGGTGTTAGGAGGCGGAGCTTGCAGAGGGAGGGACAGACTACCATAGGCTGCCCAGTGATCCTGGGGGTGTGGCCAGATGAGAAGGGTGGCATGTCATCCCGCCCACATTGCAATCAAGATCCAGGGAGATGAACACACCGGATGGACACCCTATCCACCCCTCCTCCAGCATCTCCTCATGGTCCAGATTGAAGTGGGACAAGGAGTTGTGGACACAGGTAAGACACAGAAGCACCTGTCCCTTCTGTGGGAAGGGGCACTCAGTGCCTCTGCCTAGGGTGGCACTTTTCAGGGGGGCGGTGCAAACTCCTTGTTTGCCTCATGGCAAATACCCCCCTGGCACCACATCATATGGTAAAGGCCTACTGTGCATTGTGTGCTGTGTCAGAAAAGTTTGTGCTAATCTGATTTTTGGTGAATATTCAAGTGAATAGGTTAAATCAATGCAATGCACCTTAACATTCAATCATTAAAGAAAAAGCAGGTTTATCTGAATAAGCCCCCATTCACTGGTCTGACACCAACTACACACATCTTCAATTTTGGCTTAGTTCTGAAATAGATGACATTTGAGCCATGGTCAGAACTGTAGGCACCACTTTGCTAGACAAAAATCAATTTAAAAATTGTCTGATAAGGGTGGAAAGTTATTGGATAAACAGTACTGTATCTTATCCAGTGCAGTCACTGTTCCACTATTTCAGGTAGCTGTGGATACTGCAGCTGTCTAAGTAGAGTATCCAGCAGTTCAGATTCCTCCATCTACAATATAAATATACATATATACTTATATATCTTTACTGATAACTGGGTTAAATGAAGAAATTTTAATTCTTGTGACAAATATCACAAAACTCCCTCTGACAATGCCATCATCAGCAATTGTTTTCAAAATGATCTGCTTTTAGACTGAAACATTGGCTTGGGGATAATGCAATCCTGTAAATCCTAGTGCTTGAAGTTTGTGGTTTTATAAATGGCTGACTACCTTCTACAAAATTATAATGTTGCAGTCTTACCCTGGGGGGGAGAAAGACCTAGTAAATGCTGAAGTGCCACAAATTGTAGTAGCACCTGTTGATTTTACAGTGGAGCCTGTAATGAGCCCCTCACCATGATCAGTATACTTATCTTGAAAGTAAATTCACTGGACTGGAGTTCGAGGGCTGGCTTTTAATAAAAGAGGATAGAGGATTTTTGAAAAAATTACTGTCATTCAGCTGGTAGGAACCAGAAGACAATAGCGTAGTCGGGCAGGCCGGGGTCGATAACAGCGGGACAGACAGTGCAGAACGGTAGACAAGTATAACAGGTCACAAGCTGGGTTCAGCAACGGGATGTCAGATAAAGGGATAACGCAGAGAATAGTCTAGTCAAAAGCCAAGTCAGTTTCAAGGAGAGCCACGAGAGTATAAACAGAGCTTGTTGCAACACGAACATACAAGATATGAATGCAAAGGGACAACAGGCTTATATGTGATCAACCACACCCCTCTGGGGGATGGACCGCAGAGGCCTGAAGGCATAAAAAAACTCCCACCATGTTCTGCAGAAATCCAAGATGGATGCCAGCACATGGAGCAGCATAACCTCTGGGAAAAGGTAGGACCTTGACACTGGGATTGTAGCAAGTCAAATTTCAGTTCCTGGAAGTGATAATGAAGATTTGCAGGAGAAGAAGCCTTAAACTGACGACCTTGGTAGGAGAAGGATAGCTTAAATGGAAACCCCCATCTATATTTGATATCAGCAGACTCCAGAATTTGTAGGTAGGTTCTCAGGGTACGGCGTTTTTCTATTGTGACTAGAGAAAAATCAGCAAACAACCAAAGGGAGTTACCCTGAAATTCCAATGTTGGCAGGTTTCAAGCCACCTGCAAGAGGCATTCTTTAGTGCAGTAATATTGGAACTTAACAATAATGTCTGTGGGTTTGGGGGCTAGAGTTCTGTGAATACGATCGAATTCCAAACATTTCAGAGGGATCTCAGAAGCCAGTTCCTGAAAGAGTACAGTAGCAGTACCCTGTAGATCAGTTACCACTTTAGCGACATGAATGCAGAGGTTATCTCTACAGGCTCTATTCTCTATATCTTTCAATTTAGCTTTTAAGGTGTACAGCTCAGCATGTAAATCCTTCACTTCCTGCTCATGACCTTCCAAGACTGTAGTCGCCAGATCCATACGCTGTTCGAATTGATGAGCATGATGGCCCAATTCCTTTAGACCTTTTACCAGATCAGAGGACAGCTTGCAAGAGGCAGTTGTAATCTCTTCCCGCACAATGGAGTGGAATTTATGTAGTAAAGCTTCAGGATTGTGCTCCAAAGAACTCGTTAAAACAAAGGGGAACTGGTGCTGATTGTCATTACCCGAGTCCGGATCCCCTGTAAGCCACGTGGTGTCACCGGGCTCTGGAGGGCTGGGTGCCATTTTGTCAGACTGCCGGGGAGGGGAGTCTTTTTGCTGGGCCCGATGTTTAGGCTTATTGCGCGGGGGGTGTGATGCATCTATGGGCATAGGCCAGGTATTCCGCAAGCACCTCCAACCTTTTGTACCAGTGCATGGGGATTGGTATGCAGATGTTAATGTTTCGGTGGCACGGGACCGGGAGATCAAACGGCCACGGCCATCAACCCTGCCCACGTGCGTGTGTCCCCCAGCGGGGGTACTTTTACATAGGGATAATCTCTACAGGGGTACTTTTACATAGGGATAATCTCTACAGTGCAGTCCATGTATCTCGCCATAGAGATTATCACAGATAAAAATAGGGGGGGGGGATGCAGGTCACTCCACAGAGCCTCTGGACCAGGTCAGTCCTCTTCTCCCACAGTGAGAGCATGCAGACTCTTTTGAGTGCATGATTCCGGGCCCCTGTGCAGGACACAGGGGCAGCTGAGTGTGTCACACTCACCCTGGCAGCAGCTCACCTTTCTGGATTCCAAGTTATGTCTGGGTGCAGTGTAAGGCATGTCCGGGCTTTGTGTAGGCAGTGCCAGGCTTCGTGGGCTGCAATAGGCCTCGATCCGGGTATGGGGCTCTAGCTGGCCTGAATCTCCCCTCCAGGTAATAGCCACAGCCTGTGGGGGGTTCCCGATGCCAGCGAGCCCAAAACGCCGGCCGCCAGGCCCGGATATAGCGCAGGCCAAGTCCAGGCCTTGTAGGCCACAATCCATCAGGACCGTGGGTAGGGGTCAATCCGATCCGTGTCTCCTCGGTAGGCAGTGGCTAACCTCCACAGGGACCCCAAAAGTCAGTGGGACCCAACTGTGTCTAGGATGGACTTAGATGAAGACAAGAGGCGGCAGAGTTCTCCCCCTATGCAAACTGCTCCCGCCAACATCTTCGAACTGTAAAGGTTTTTAAAGTGTCACCTATGGACAAGTTTAGGCATCATAATTTGTATGGGTTTCCCAAGTGCACAGGCTGATACATCTGTTATGTATTTTTTCAACACAGTCTTGTCTTTTTTTAAGTGAATTATGTTGTGATTTTGTGCACTCATTTTATTTTTAGTGTATTTTTTACTGAAAACATGGAGTTGAAAACCAGTTATGTGAATATCATGCAGCATAGACATTTGTAGCTACAATCTATCTCTTTTACAGATTCTCTATTTACAGAAAAAAATATAATATATGTAACTTGTGCTTACATTTTAATAAAATATTTAATGTTTATATATTGATAACCGATGAATTCAAGCAAAATTTACAGGTGAAATACGTAAATTTTAAGTATTATATTCAGTCAGTATTTTGGTACCCTTGTCAGAACTAAGTCACTTTCTCCCTGTGATCTCCTTGTACACTATGCTGCAGAAGAACAAAACAGCCTATTCTAGGAGCCACCCCAGCATGTGATTGAACAAAGGTAGAATAACACCCTGATAAGCTCATCACTCTTTTCAGAAACTTGCAACTTTAGTTGAACAGATACTGTATGTACATTGCAGGAGAACCTCTTCCTGTTTGAAATAATTCCACTTTCACAGTGAATCCTGCTGTATACCTGTCCACTATTGGTCCTGCTGGTTTTTGCAGAATGTTGAAATCAACATAGATTCAGGTACTTTTCCCAGCAATATTTAAAAATGTATTTAATGATTTTTTTTCAAGCTGGGAACAGGTGGTCACTATTACTGACATCAGCCACTGGCAGGGTACATTTCCAGAAATTAAAGGCTGAAGTAGACCTGTCATTATTAGCTGCTAGCAAATATATTCTATTAATTGTTAAAGGTGAACGACAGTCAGTATAATGTTTGCCATACTCTGACATAATCTCAGCTTGTGTACATATTGAGGTTCAATTACTAAAACTGGAGAGTGCAAAATCTGGTGCAGCTCTGCATATAAACCAATCAGTTTCCAGTTTTTTTTTTTTGTCAACGCTTAACTTGTACAACCTGAAGTTAGAAGCTGATTGGCTACCATTAGAGATGAGCGAATTATTCAAAAATTCGATTTGGCTGATTCGCCGAATTTTCGGAAGAAATTCGATTCGATGCAAATTTATTCGCTGCGAATTTAACTTATTAAAAGGGTTTCTAGGCTTCAGAGAGCCTTTAT